ATATATATATATATATAATCATTTATCATCATGATATGTATGTACTGTATCTATCATAATAGAATGAAAAATATTACCACATCTCTATGGCATCCATAATCTTATACCCTCAATCTTCAGAGCAGGATGGCTAATTATCTCCTCCCCACATTTGGATTAGGCAGCACAACCCTGTAATAAAACGCTTCACTTGAAATTTGAGGACATTGTGTGCAAATCACAGACTTCAGCTCCCAGTAGTAACATTACTTCCAGTGCTGAAAATAGGGATCTGTCAAGGATTTGTGAATGTCTTTGAGAAAGATATAAGAAATAAGTACTTGCATAAATGGCAATTTTCATTCAAAAAAATTCAAAATGTTGTGTTAAGCTCTTTATGGGGCCTGCGTTGCCCCTGTGTTTCTGACTGTGGTACAGTCTGCTTGTGGGGGTGTTCATATGCTAACTAGGCCAGACAGCCAACTCTGGTTGTTCCAAGAGTGCTTTTCTCTCTTACTGTCTAGGGCACATGTCTCTTTTATGGTGAAGGTTTAGGTTGTATTTATACTATTTATGTGTTTTATACACTGTAGATCCTCTTTTAGTGGCTTACTGAGTTCTTTTGTTTCAGCCAAGGCGCAGAGATGGTGATAAACAGCATAGCAAAGTGTCAGGAGAGGCAAAAACATGCAGTTCTGTTGAATAATTGATCACTGGTGCATTGGATGGCTGATAATCAGCCAATCATTAGACTCACCCTGTACCAAGAGATTCTTGTGGAACACTGACGAAACACTTACGCTGATTATAGAGAGTTTTATGAGCCTAGCAAATTGTCAAGTTTACAGAATTTATCAAATGGGTCATTTTTTTTTTAAAATTAGGCATTACAGAATGGAAGCTTTTGGAACAGTGAAAATTGAATTTTCACTGTTTTTTAAGTGGAGTGGTGCCCAAGGTGAACGGGGCTTAAACCAGCTCAAGAAAGGGCACGAAGCAACCGCGCGAAGCCCTCACCATACATGATTTTAGAAAAGAACGCAAAGAACTAGCGTGCGAACTTACCACAATGTGGATTTTAGAAAGTGCACAAAGACTTTGAACTTCTTACACTGATGTATTATTTGTATATAAGACAAATTTTCATATCTTCAGAGTTTGGAAGTGTGGTTGATCTACTTACAGAGTCTAGTTATACAAAATAAAATTTTAAGCATTGAACATTATTTAGGTCTCTGCAATGGATATGAATGCATTTAACATTTAAAATGATTTTACATTTAAAACAGACAAAATCTAGCATGAATTTCAGTTCCCAACACTGCAATCCATTCTCTTCAGTTTTAAATTTAAATTTTTATTATTTTAAATGATGTGAATTTTCCAAAATGAAAACATAATTTTTTTAAAATTTATTTTTTATTATTTTTATTTTATTTTATTTTATTTTATTTTATTTTTTGCTCAATCTTTTTAAAGTTTAAATCATTTATTGGTCAAACATCTTTTCACTATACAAATTTGCTGGTTAGTGTTCACCCAGATGGAACCTTTGGATGAAATGACATATACAGAGTCTGTATACTGTATGTGTGTATGTGTGTAATGTTCCCATTATTGGATTGTGCTTAACCCATATGAAAGCATTCTAGTTGTTTTAAGATGCATTAAGTGGCTCTGCGTTGGCCTGTTGGACTGCGATTGTGTTAGACAGATATGTCTTAGACAAATGAGACCTTAAACTCAGCCAAGAAGACCCACGAAAGATTGCATTCTTCCTCTGTGAGTATGGGAGCAGCAGTATCCCTAAGTTGAGGGCTAAAACACATGCAGTATAAATATCTAGTATAAATATCTAGTTCAGTCATGACACTCTATGATGCAGGCAAATGGGTCTTTAAAGGGTCATGAAACCCCAGACTACTTTTTCTGAGATTTTAGCAGAGGTGTTTGTGTTGCACATCATAGAAGACAATGTTAGCATCCGATAATTTTAACTGTTGGAGAAAACTGGTTAATTTTAAGCTTTTTTGCACTATTTTCATCTTCCGGGTTTAAAATCTACATCGTGTTGACGTCACAATGTGACGTGGCAATGGACTATAGTACATCGATGATGCGTC